CGGCTCAGGATGGCTTAGCTTGGCCAAGCTTCGGCGATGGGGAGGGTTTGGAGATGGGGGATGGGGGGAGGCTGCACGTTACACCTGCCAGTGGATAGGTTGACGATGACCAAACAAGAAGCCTCCTATTGGATGCTAAGTTTTTCAACACCGAAGCACTTGAGAGACCTTACATGGTTTAGGTCCTGTCCTCGGCGTGGGCTGAGGGGCGTTACCGTTGTGACTACGCTTGCTGTTCGTCATGTCCTCGCTAGTAATACTACGAAAGCTACTCAGTGTACGAGATGGCAGTACGCGACTTCCGTAGCTCCGAACCATCGTCCACATGTCGGCGTCGGATGACAGACCGATGGACCGACCGATAGTCAGAGGCCAAGCTCACAAGACAAATTTAACAACAAATAACATTGCTGTACAACCACGGTCTCGGGCAAATCCGCGCGGGAGATCTGGTGGAAGCTTGACCTGCCAAGAAGTCAGGGCTTGGTTGACGGTCCTTCTTCTGATGTCAAAGTGACGGCCAGGGCTGTCTTCTGATTCTGGCATGTTGACACTTTGCACAAGGAGAGCGCGCCTCCGACAAATCTGGTGGATCCGGAGCCCCGGCCTTTCGAAAGGCACTTGCAGGAGTTTGCCGTGTGGCACTCAGCATACTGTTCCCTCAACTGATGCAAAACATGTCTGTTCGAGCGGTAATCGTGTGGCCGCTGCTTCGTTGTGGGCAGACGGCAGCAGGGCATCACTGACCCAGCACTGTCCAAATCCAAATGGAGGAATCTCACATGCCGGGCAATCTCCAGTGCCTCACGGACTGTGTGGGCATGCACTTGGGTCACATCACCGAGTGTCTATAGTGACACAGCTAAGTCGCATCATGTCTTTTGGATCCCACCCCACACTGGGGGGAAGCACCCGCGGGGGTCGCATCATGTCTTTTGGATCCCACCCCCCCACACTGGGGGGAAGCACCCGCGGGGGTCGCATCACCGAGCGTTCAACCGTGCGCGACGTGGAAGATACTTTTAGCTCCTGTATGGTGTCACGCGTATCACGCCAACAGCTCGATTAGGCATCGTCTTTCATGTTTGATTGCGAACACGACAACGGCTGCGGATGATGAAGACCACTGAATCACCTTCCAAGACAGGACTTGCGTGACGACGCTGCAGCGCTTGTGGGTAGTCCCCGAGATCTCCGGCGAAGGCTTTGCCCCCGAGCCAGGCGGGATAGCGATGGGAAAGTGAAAGCAGGTGAGCGAGGGACACGAAGCAGGATTTTCCAGAAGGCAGCCATCAAGTTGATGCGCCAGGGCCGCTGCCACCTCTGGATGCTTTTCGGAGTGTTATCTCACGGAGCGATGCTTCATGCGAAAAGTGCCTTGTGGGCTCTGGCTGCAAGTGCCAGAATGGCCTCCTGTAGAATTGTGGTTGGCCGATGCTGTCAGCTTTGCAACTACAAGTGCATGGCATGCATTCCGTGTGTGAAAGCGGCTTTGGTTGTCAGGAACCTAGAGAGATTTGCCGCAGCAACTGTACCCGGCGAAGGCTCCGGCTCCTCCTCTTCCTTCTTCCTCGGCGACTCGTTCGAAGATATGTGAATGTTGAAGATGTTTTGAACCTTCACGTCGAATTCCACCTTCTCGTCCTAAACAAAAGCGGGGCCTGCTCCGCCAAAACCCAGGGTTTTAGCTGGGCGGGGGAGGTTCAGAAGGACATCCTCCGACAATTATAGCCGCTCCGGGCAGCAGTAGACTCCACTTCTGGTCCTCACCCACAATGCTTCTACTGCGAGCGATGTTGTGCTGCTGTGAGCATGGCAGCATGTCGCATGTACCACCCACTTGACTCGGGCGTGCATGCTGCCAACCCTGAGTCGGAGCTGGCGCAGCTTGCTACAATCCCCACACACTAGGACGTTCGGTGTTCTACAAGCCCCATCACAGCAATGCATGACTCGGGACATGTGGCCTCGCGCCGGTGAACTTCTATAAGTTGGAGGTCTGTCTTCATCAGGTCGTCTCGCCACATCTGCCAGGACAGTAGCTGTGATGCTTGCCTTGTTACCTCGTGTCTGCTCACCATTGAATGTCCTGCGTGGGCTAAGCCTCAGGAACATAAGTGCCTGGTCGCCGTTTCTACCAGCATCACCACATGGGCCGCTTTTCGGCGGATGCTCCATGTCTTAATTCAGCCTCCACATGGTTTTTCTTATCGCTCAATCTTCACTTCGATTTAATACCCCCCCCATCGGTTGATTTCAGGCCCCCGCCAGGTCCGGGAGGGCTGACAATAGGGCCTCAAGGCCTCAAGTGTTCTTTTAGGAACCAGGGAAGGCATTCTTATTGAGTTGTCGGGATCGGTTGTTGTAACTGAAGTGGGGTTGATTCTTGAGTCTCCGGACTGGAGTCTTTTAATTGAGGGGGGAAAATTATTTCAGTTCACATTAAATGTTGCCTCCCTCTCCTCTCCGGCCCTCGACAGGACATCCGTGCGGTAAAGAAATTTGAGCAGTCTCTGTCTGGCAGGACCTGGCAGGATGCATGTCGCGGATGGTGTGCCCTGCGGTTGAAGCATTTCGAGTGTGCTGCACATGTAGCTGATAGCTGTGGCCAGCACACTACTGAGTATGCACAAACAGTTGCCTGAAATGTTGCAAGATATAGCCAACCAATGCTTCGTACGGCAAACATGCGCTGCTCCACCCCGTTCTTGAAGTAGTCCTCCACCTGAAGCAATGGGCTTCTACACAGAATTGCTCTTGTTCGGGAACAACTGCATGAATTTGCAGAACATAGTGTGACGGTTCAGCTTCCCGATCGCATTCCTCAAACACCGGTGCTCCAAGTTACCGCACCACTCCTTCAGCATATCGCGCACCCCGAACACCCCGAATTCCTAGCATCACGGACATGACTGAATTGGATACTGATTAGAGCCTAATCACGCTAACTGGCAGCCTATAGTTGCAATATCTTACGGTCGTTCCCCCTCCGGCCTCTGCAACGGCGTAGAGGCGTCTAAGCTCTTTGAAGAGCTCGGGACCCGTTTTCGCGAGTCGTTCATCCTCGTGCGAGTAGCTTGGCATCGGGCATTCTGTTGTTTGGTAAAGTCTTGGGTTTCGGGTTTCAGAGTCTTGGGCTAGTGGCAGAGAGGGGCGTGAGCCAACGAAGCTCTAGCAGGCAGGGCGTTGTGATACTTTTGTTCCCAAACCCCACTCAAGCGTTCACACCACATCAACGAAATCCCGAACCCAAAATCCAGCCTCCGCCACCTCTTCTTCCCCCATGGCTTCGCTCATTCTTCAGGGGTCTTCGCCACCCCCTGGCGAGCCGTGCACAGCTCTTGGAGCTAAACTGAAGCGAGGAAAGTGTCAACATGTTCGGATTTGTCGTCATCCTGGGTTGGGGATGTGGTCGGGGTGAACATCAGCAATTTACTCGTAAATGGGATCCACATGCACATGTCCATGTTGGCTCAGATTGAAAGTTAAGAGCATGGGGCTTGCAATGCTGTGCGATTGGCAGCTTCCTCGCCGGCAGTCGAACCAGTCCTCCACAGGCTGATGTGGCATATGATACCGCCCTTCGGCAGGCCCCTTCAAGCGCCCACAGCTGTACATAAGGCCCTGGAAGGAACCCGGAGCTGCCTCTGGCAAGCTTCATCCTGGTTTCAGGGCAGTCCCTTCCCTGCTGTTTTTGCAAATCGCACCGAGCCACCGAACTTTGCCACTCAGGACATCTCGGGGGAAGGAAGAGCCCACGTGTTGTACTCATGCGCTCTACAAGCTGGCTGCAAATTCGCGGACCTTCTGGGAGCCTTCGGCTTCCTGATCCGTCACCCCTGGTACGGACAAATTGGCTCTGCCACTAGCTGTTCGGCTTCTTTCGCGCAAAACAAAAACATGCTTCTCAAGGTACCAGGGAACTGGCATGCGCAATTCACTTCAGCATCCCGATGAACATCTTGGTCATTCCAGCCTCGGCAACTGAAAAGGATGCACAGTAGGAGCTGGAACCGATCTGTCAGGGTCCACATCAACACTTCACATCATTCTCGGTGAACTGAGAGTTGTGCTGCTCGGTGCAGGCTAGTCATCGCGCACCTGGAGGCTTGAAGGTGCTGCCTTCACCAAAGGTGGGTGCGGGAGACAGCGTTACATTGTCGTCCCCGATGACTGGGACTGATTTGTGCCTGTGACTCGTTTGAACATAACCCTGGAGCTGGAGCATGACAGTGCAGTGCTGCAGTGCTGTTTCCACACTCTGGTTTTCTTTCGTTGTCCTTCTTCTCCTCCACAAATGACAAACTCTTGTTTTCCTCTCCCCTTCCGCTTGTGCACAAGCCTGAATTTCCCGGCCTGCAGGCCCATTCGCCAGCATGAGTGGAGCCGGTGACGGAGCATCTGCAGCCTGCAACACAATTGGTGGGGCTTTTGTCGAGTCAGTGCAGCGGATCATGGAGACTGCACAGTGCTTCAAAGCGGCAGGAGTTGTGGCTGCCACATCCGGGGCGCCGCCTCCGTGCGATGTCTGCAGGACCCCAAAGAGGACAGTGTGCCACCATCAACCATCCCTACGCCATGTTGAAGAAGCAAGGTTGCATTCAGGATTGCACTGTGCCTGCATCTTGGGCAGTCTCGGATGTCACCTGGTGCATTGCATCTTCCGAAACCGTAAGCTGACATGACAGAATCGTTTTTGAAGTGTTCGTGTCAAACATCAAAAAACGCGCTGTGACGGCAACCTCTGCATTCTGGGTGGCAATGTTCTGTGCGACAAAGTGAAATTTCCTGAACATTCCTGTGCCTCTTCTGCTTTCTTCTGCTCGTCTTCTCAGGATACAGCAGCAGCTTGTTTTCGTTTCAGTTATCGGCTCTGTCGCCCTACTCGTGAAAGAGCTGCACCCCAAGTACAGTATCAGGCTGCAAAAGCCTTCTGCCGCCACGGCAAGCAAGACTCGCAAGACGGTATGTTTCGCAATCTTTCGTGTCACTCCTTACCTTTAAGAGATACGCTCGCTCTCCTTTCGGGGTTCCTCCTTTTCAACTCCCTCCTTCGAAATACAGCGTCCATCCAAAATCGCGATGCTTCCGACTCGCACTTCTCGCAAACCACCTCTGTCTGCCTCTGTAGAGATCATCAAGAAAAAGGCCTTCGGATCGGCTTCGCCAACATCTTGGGTTTTCGGTGTTTGGGCGGCGTCTGGTGGCACTGTGGCCACCGTGGTCACCTAGCAGCGACAACAATCTGCACGGCCACTTTCCCATTTCCCGTGTCGTCACTCGGGCAAGCACCTTGACATCTGCATGCACTGGTTCTGCCTCCGGAGTGTCAGCCTGCATCGCGCACCAATCCAGCTGCACTCACGACGCTTTTGGCTCGCGCCACTTTTCAGAGCCTTGGCCATTGGAGAAGCAACTCCGAGATCATCTTTCGGAATTGAGCTAGCCTGTCGCATCACACAGGCTCCTGATCCAGAATCTAGGATTTCTCGTGTCAGCGCTTGTGTTCAAGGAAGCTCGTCAGCTAAGCTTTCAACCTGCAACGGAGCAACAAAGTCCTTTTGTCCTACAACTTGGTCGCCTCCCTAAACCCCTAACCCCTAAACCCTACTCTTTCCTGGCCTCTGCCTTCTCTGGGCCCGGCTTCTCAGGCTCTGATACTCCCTCCGCGGCTCCGCTTGCAGGTCCAGCGCCTGAAAGGCCAAAAGGAAGGCAACTTCAAAGAACAACAATGTTTAGGGTTTAGGGGTTTAGGGTCAAGAAGCTTCTTTCTGGGAGCGCAGAAAGACAAGGAAGGGCTTCGGGGGGCATGGCAAAAAGGCACCGATGGCGAAGCGGCGGCCTTCTTCCGGGGCGCTGTGCTCCGCCGGAGCCGGGGCAACCGGGGCCGGGCAGCCCTCCAAAATGGGATGGCTTTGGACCTGAGCCAAGAGAACCCACGAGAAGGCTCAATTCGTTTGCACCTGGGCCAGGGACGTAGTAGTCCAAGGTAGCAGCATCTAAACCTTCGACCTTAGGGATCATGCTCAAACTAGTTGCAAACGCTGAGAAACAGGCGCTCAAGGAGACTCAGGGACAGTGGCGAGACCATTGGCATCACTGAGCGTTGCAAAGACCAAGCCCCGGAAGAACTCGGGCAAAAACTCCGCCTGCAACGAACTTGACCCCGAAGTTCTTCGGATTGACACGTATTCTGCGAACCTGGTGGGGTGGTTTCTCCGGAGACCAGCCCCACAGCCAATCGTGCGAGGAGCCCTGTGCCAGGTTCAGCAAAGGCTTCTCAACATCACGAATCGATCGGACCTCCAGCTGTCTCAAGACCATTCCGTTGCCCTGCTCATCAATCCGATGACCTCGGCTTCTTGGCTCCTGCCACCTCTCCGGCTCTCTGCACCAGCAAATGGGAGCCCGGCGGACGACGGCCACCACCTCTGCCGAGGCCATGAAGGGCGCCTGCGTGACCGGATTTAACGTCTTCACATCTGCAAGCAGCCCGAGCAACTGATTCCCCCATCATCCATCGCCTGAACATCCTCCTTCTTGAAAGGTGGTGTGCGCCAACCTGCATTCACAAGTCAAGCTTCGGTCAAAGGTTGTCACAGTGTCAGACCCTGATGCCCTGGCAGGGCCTTTACGAATGCCGATGTGCTCGAAGAAAAAACTGTAGCCGTTGAAGATTTCATGCGAACCTCCGGTGGTCTGAGCAGTGCTTCGTCATTCGTCAGGTGATGCCCCGATCTGTGTCCGGCTTTAGCATCTCATGTTAGTCTCTTCGCAAGTCAGGTGGTTCAACAGCACTTGGGTGCCCGGCTATCGCGAATCCAGTCCGTGTCAATGCTCCACCACGCTAAAGCTCCGGCCTGCCACGGCTTTCTCGGCATACCTTACTCCAATCTCCTTATATCTCTACGCCTCTACGCCGTACCCACACTGTTTTGCAGCATCCCCAGCGCCTCCTCGGGGAGCTCCTCGGCGGGCGCAGTCTCGGCCTGGCGCTGGCCAGCGCAGCAGGACCCATCTTTGAAGCAACTCTCAAGTTTCTGCTCTTCGGCTTTGCTCTCAGAGCCCTGCCGCTCCATCTTCGGTCGAGGCCTGAGACGCCTGAAAGGGACCCAGAAACTCATTTGACCCGTCGTTTGCTCTCCGAGCTCGCGGCTGCCTGCGTCGTGGCCGCCTCGCTGCTCTCAGGGCGATTACTGGAAGCTTGCGAACCGTGATGGATCACGTGATTCTAGCAAGCCATGACAGCTGCTGATCATACGGAGCACTCGTCCTCGAGTAACTTTATCAGCCTATTGCTCATATCAATGTGGATTATGTCGGATACCCATGCCTACGGACACGAACCTGAGCAAGGCACAGTGGACCGGAGAGGAACACCCGGACTAGTATGCAGCCACGCGACACTGCTGTTGGCCGGCTCCGAACTCTTTGCCTGACACAGGTTGGGGATGCAACTCTCTCTAGCCTGAAGTCATGGCTGAGGCTCCCACTGCCGAACCACCAGCACTTGCCTCCAGACTTGACAGTTCTCGCAGAACACCAAAGTCATGGATGCGAAGCTTAGCACTCCTCGCCTCGGAGCTGGCAGAGTACTTGGCCTAGCCAGGTGGTCACACAGCACGAAGTTCTGGAACTGTGCCCAAGCACCAATCACCACGACGCACAATGGGAACATATGGGGACTGTACGAGGCCTCCGATGAGCTGACTCCGCAGCCCATCGCGGGCGGTCCAAGCAAAAGGCGATGCCGATGCAGTCTCCGAGCTTACAGAACTTCGAAATGTGCGCGAGTTCTCGCACTTTGGTGCTGCTCGAGCAAATCTCTCTTGCTTGTGGTGGTCGCTATCCGATCTGACACGGGTTGGGGCCATTCGGGAATGCCGGGGGATTCGGGCGTGGCTGTTGATTCAGTCAAGGACAAAGCGGGCTTGGTCCGAGGAAAAGGAGGCCCGCCACCTGATTCTATATGCCGGAATGCAAGAACAAGGCCAAGTTGCTTCCATGCAAGAACCGCGACTTTGCTCCAGCTTTTTTGGTGCCACTTTCATATCTGTTCTCAAATTTAAAGCATAGAACGAAGGCATGTCCGAACTCAAGCTGTGCAGACGCCTGCTGCAGTGTTGCACGGCATAAACCTGGCTCATCTCTACAAAGTCTCTCCATCTCTGCGGCAAGCACAGCGAATACTACCATATTCACAATCGTCCTTCTCACCTGCCTCAAAACTGCTTCAAGTAATCCTTACAGTCACGCTGGCACGGCTTGCCGAAGGCTACGCTGACCCCTGCTCGTTCAGGAATTCCTGAAGGACTCTCACATCGTGGCCTTGGCTCATGCAGGACCGGAGCGGAGATGCCCAGCATCCCTAGCTAGATGCATGCAGCAGCTAATTCTGTAAACGGGGCCTGGTACCCAGTCGCCCAAACACTTTGCTATGCTAGCTGCTGTCGCATCTTGGCCCCCAACGAGTCGGATCACGAATGCCACCTTGCCGGTTATCCTTGGAGTGCAGGCTTTTGCCACGCCTTTGTGCAACGACTCCCGCTATCGGCGGAGTCCCTGCTCAGTGCTGGGCACAGAACTGCCACCTTCATAAAGGCATGACATAAAGATCGGATGAACATGTCGACTGTTCCTTGATGCAGCGACCGTCGGCCACAGGTCTAAGTAGTTGACCACTGACGCTTGGTCTCCTCGTTGGATCGCTGCATCGCCTGGCTAGCCCAGCCGTGCACAGGGAGTGACCGAGTTTTTTGCCTTTGCTAGGGTCGCAAGAACTGGACACCACATGACTCCACGAATCGGCCGAGCTCTTCATGAGTACCAAAAGCAACGCCTATCAGATCACCCGATTCTGACCACGAGGAAGCAGGAGCCTTGATCTTCTGAACCAGCGAGTCCTTGCGAGGGTCGTAAGACCTTCGGTTGCCGACTGCTGAGTCCATGGTGTCGACACCGTGCTTCTTTGTGCTTCTCTTTATATTTTTTGCCGGACTGTGGACGAAGCACACCAGGCAATGATCAAGTCCACGCTGACGCAAAGCCCACTGCACTTCACAGCACTCACCTCCCGTGTTGGGATCGGCGAGCACGCTACTTCCGTCTCAGGAGTCATCGTCGTCTTCATCCAACCTCATCCCGGTCAGATTGTCAAGAAAGTCGGCGTACCGTTCTTGTAAGAACTTTATGTATGGCATTGTGGGTACGGTAGCGTGTAACCACGACCACCCGTAGTTGTGGCTGGGCTTCTGACAGCAAATCTCCTCGGAATTGTGCCGAGGCCTGCAGTGCTTGTCGGATGCGGAATTTTTTCAAACTGAGCGTTAAAGCACCAGCCTTCTTCTTGGGTTGCCGCGGCAGGTTGTCCGCGGGTCGCTTGGCATGGGCCTGCCCCAGGCGTACGAATTGAATCTGGTCAAGTTGTCCAGGTTCTCACATAGCTCAGAAGACAGCCGCCAGCCTTTGCACGTCCCAGCGTGCTGTCTTCAGAGGTGTCGGGCGCCGCTTTGGGCGTCCTGACTGTGACAACGTCCGAGAGGCCACGTCCAGCAGCAACCTTAGGCTCCGTGGGGGCAAGCGAGCTGGCTGCACGAGGCCAATGTGTCCAAGCAGCTGCGACTGCGAACACCTGGCCTCCTTCTCCCAACAGAATGGGGCCATCCTGCAATGAAGGCTGCTCAAAATCTCGCTTGATGACTCCTTCAGTTTCAGTTCGGCTGGCCTGTGGCGCTTGCAGAGTTCCTGTAGAGCCGGGTTTTGGCAACGAGCCATCGGCCGTGAAAAGCACGGCTGAAGCTGGAGGCAGGGGCCTGCACAGTCCAGGGTTACCGGCCTTAGGCCGCCCTAGGCCCTAGGCCTGCTTCAAAGCTCTCCAACAGGCATGGCACTGGCAAGGCCTCATGGTCACCGCCCAAGCGGCACCGGAGCCAGGATCGGCCCGCTCCAGTGAGACCTTGGGCGGCGGCGCGCGCATCGCTCCGGAGGCCAAGGCCTTTGCGAGCGGCATCTGCTCCTGGCGGAGGTTTTGGGCGCTTCCAGCATCTTCCAGCTTCCACTGTTCTGCTTAAGGCTTAAGCTGTGGTCTTAGGATGTCCCGCGCATGCTCAGTCTGCTGAGCAGCCTGTAAAGTGGGCCACGGCAGCCAAAATCCCGAAGGAAGCGGGGCAGCTGGAAACCCATCTGCAGCTTGAGGGAAGCCGACCGGAGCAGCATGCCGCAAGCGAGATGCAAACTTGCAGATGTCATCCTTAAGGCAATGGACTATGGGCAAAAGGGCCGTCCACTCCGAGTGAGAGCTTAAGCATGACTCTATTCAACAGTGGGATACCACCGACAAGTCGGAAAGATCCCCGCAGGCAATCATCATAGAATGCTTCATCCAAGCGTCCAAATCTGGAGGATTGAGGTCCTTGGCTTCCACGGCCTTGCTTGCCAGTGTCTTGCCACGGTGTGCAAGGTCCTGGGGATGTTGGGTGACTCATGCTGCCATCGTACTGCTTAGGCCGGAAGGGCCCCGGGCCTCGACCTCTGTGAAGACCTTCAGCAGATCATCGAAAGCCCGTGCCGCATCAGAGCCCGCCGGCCCAGCCATGAGTGAATCCCAAACCAATCCCTGTTGCGAGGCGGATGCGGCTTGACCGAGGTGTGCGGCTACTCTGAACGAAGCACAGCTCGGATTGCATCACGGTGATGCTGAGTGTGCGCAATACCTTCGAACCTTTGCATTGTTGCACTTGTACGAAGGTCTTTAGTTTCGGAGGATTCAACGCGTAATGCAAACACGTCTAGCTGGAACTGACAGGACGATGAATGTATCCGCTTCTGAAGCAAGCCTGATGGCTGAGGAAGGCTGCGACAATGAAAGGTCAGGTGCCGCACCCTCGTGACTGAGCATCCGGCTCATTCCAATCCCAGTAGTTGTAGCCAGCGTCCAGAACTGAGCCATACATGGCCTTAAATTCCAAGCAATGCGACATTGCTGCGACTGTTGCCAGGTGTCGACAAATTTAAACCTAATGATCTCCAGAGTAGCTTGACCTATCTCTGGCTCATTTTGGTGCCTGAGCTCCGGGCCATGCATCCTCGATATGCCAGGAAATCCATGAAGCCCACCCTTTCACGAATCACGAATTGAGGTGCCTTCACCAATCGAAGGCTCGCGTGCCCTCTTCACGCTTGCAAGCAAGTGGCAGGAAAGCGGAAGTGTGCTTGTAGGGATCATTCCTTGCCGACGTCTGGTCACAAATGGGCACATGACCAACGCGGGAAACGCATCCGACGGAGGAGCCGGCACACCATGTCCAAAGCGTTGGCAGTACAGGGTCCATGCCTTGTCGAGATATAGGAAAACCCTAAACCCCTAAACGCTAAACCCTCAACTTGTCAACCCTAAAGATAAAGATCCTCAAAAGGCAGCCCGTAGGCAGGAGACGCCGAAGCATGCGCTGGGCCGCAGACCTGCTGCCAATGGTGCGAGTTTCCTCGGATGCTGTTGCCCCTCTGTGATGACTCATCGGCTCTCTTTTGCACGATGAGCCAAAGGAAGCTCCGAGGGTGCAGGCGAGGCTCGCTGCCCGGTTTTCACAAGCTCTGCGAGGGTTTCCACTTCTTGGTGCAGGGACGCTGGACAGGAGAAACCCTGCTCAGAGGTTTGCGGGGCAATCTTTGGACAGAAGCAAACCACGACTTGTAGGTACGAAGATACCAGGCGACAACACCCCATTTTGGACACAGGCAGACAAAGACAGACAGCCAGGCGAACAAACACACATATTGGCACAGAAAGACACACGAGACTCTCTTCCTCACACCCACCCACTCACTCACCCACACACACACACACACAAACACACAGCAACAAAAAAAACACATGCGAGCCCTCTGCGAGTATGCACGGATCAAAGCCCCACTGCACTGGAGCAGCTGTGCACTTCCATCCCCTTCCACTCGCACAGCCGCGGGCTTTCAGGAGCAGGAGATTCCAAGCGACCTGGCCGAATAGGAAGGTTCCGAGGAGTCCGAAGCTAATTCCCACACAAGTGAAGCCTCCAGCATTGTACTGTGCCACAAACTCTTCAAGGAACCTGCAACCATGAGCAAATTGCTTCGCTTCGGTTCCGGGCCTACGATGCCACGTCTGCTAGAGGTGGCAGCCACGGGCAGTTCTGAGCTCCGCGCTCAGGCGTGTGCTTGCTCGGATCCCGCACCTGGTGAATTTTGAGAATTCTCACAGTTTGCATTCAATCTTCATGATGGAACATCCAACAAACACTTGGGTGCCAGGCTCCGTTTCCACGAGTGTCGCACCAAAGGCCTCCCAAGCAGAGCTTACAATGCCGAGACAGATCTCCTGTGCCCGAGAGATCTGCTGAAACTTCTGAGTTGCTGACCCCATTGTTTTCGGCCCTCTTGGCTTCCCTTCTGGATCTCCTCAGATGTGCATGCTATGATGACTGCGACTGTACCTGCATCGTGCCGCATCATCTACATCCCCACAGGGAGAAGCGAAACATCATGAATCATGCGCGTCCTTCACCTTGGCAATGGCTTCGGACGCCATCGCCATGACGCCACAGAGCAGCCACTCCTCTTTGATCTTGTCCCGGGCTGTGCTGCTTGTGTGGATACGAATGCACGAAATGCAAGTGTCGGCTGTTTCGCTTTGTGGCGAATCACAATGCATGTTTCAAGCGAGCTTGGAAACGCCCACGGAACAGCAACATACAGCGCGCCGTCGTGTCCGCATGCTAGGATCTTCTGGTGCCCCCACCTAGCAAGACTCAGCCAGCAAAGTTGCCCCTAGTCGCCCTAGTCGTCAACTTGTTGTCATGACGTGGCGTACTTCTCGAGGAGGAGGAGCCGCTGCATCTACGAATTTTGTCTGCGTTGTGGTGCCAGCACAATGATGACTTCAAAATATCCGGCCGGTGTGGCCAACTGAGTCATGACGCACCAGTGACAACGGAAAAAACAATAAATATCATGGTTGCTGTTGCAATCTGCAGTGGCTGTCATGCTGCTGCTGAACTTCATGCGTCTTGGCCTCCCTGATTCTCCGTGCCCTGTGATGGACTTGGTCGGCATGTCTCAAGACTCGATCTCAAGCAACCCAGCTGCGATCCCGGCCTGTTTCTGAATGGCTTCTGCTGACGGAAGTATGCCACTTGCGGTTTCGCAGGGCACTGCCAGCTGTGAGCTGGTGAAACCATGCATCCACTACGCACTACGCTTTGCCGGGCCTGCTGAGCGCAATGCCCTGCCGCTAGGCCTTGGTAAAGCACCGCTCGTGTGGCTTGGGAGCTTCATGAGTTCCGGTTCGGTCCTGCACGTTCGGGGAACCGAGAACCTTGCAAGATCGTCTCGGAGCTGCTCGATCGTGGCGTCGCGCTTGCGGATCTGCCACGAGCTGTATTGCTGTGCAGACACTCGCAGAAACACCGACTGAGCTCGGGTAGGGATGTTCTGAAGATATGCAGAAAGCCTAAGCCTTAGACCACGAACTCAGCGCATGTTCCAGCCTCCTCCAGTGCGCGCTGCTCGCCAGCTTTTGCCTGCGGGCTGAAAGTGCTAGGCGAAGTTGTTACCCGGTTTGGCCTGTAGGCACCAACCCACGTGCGCTCTGACAAGATATTTACTTGCAAAATGACTTTGAATACGTTTAAAACGTCTAGCCACATCTTATAGTACAGTTTGTGTTCATATGGTTACACAGCATGTTTGTGTATTGTCACATGATTGCAGCAACACGATGTCGAATGTTCATGCACCCACATAAACTCCATAAGCACAACACAGGCGGCCTTGACCTGTCGCTGCCGCGCATCTTGGAGTTGCCGGACCTTTTATGCTCACACAAGACTGAATTCTGCGCCATCTAACCTGATGGTTGGATTCATGTGTTGCTTCATTGTTGTGATCACCTCCTTGCAATCTAAGAGTACCGCCAATGCTTCTCTTGCTCAGCTAGGCCATGTCGAAGTTACGCGGTAAGTTCTCAAGCTTAGATGAGAGCTGCACGGCTGTCACCCGAGTGTAGGATGTGACCAGCGTTGCATGCTTTGCGTGTCTGCGCTCACTTCCTGCTTCTGTGCCGCTGAAGCCGGCCCAAGTTTCCTCCCGCCCACCCTCCCCTGCGTTTTTTTCACTACCGGGCCTTGTGTTGTCAGGCATTTCCAATGTACTATGGCACTACTATGGGCGAGCGTTCCACTGAGCGAGCTGCTGACGAGTGCACAGACCGAACGAGGACCGGGAACGAGCAGCAGCCACAGTCATTAGAATCACCGGCTTGCTCATCGTCACCATGTCAACAATCGAAACAATAGTAGTTGAATGTTCACCTGGCCTGCCCGAAGCACTGAACAACGCTATTGTAGTCGCTGTTGACGAGCAAGCTTGCTAGGAATGATGATTCTGATTGAGATGACTGGGGTTGTTCCGTTGTTGCTCTTGTGATGCATTTAGCTGCAGTTCTAGCACCAGCGATGCTTCGGACACGGACAAGGCCCTGACAGCGTCTCGCATTTGCTCTATGAAGTCCTCCTCCTCCTGGCGGCTACAGGCCTCGGGCGCGGTTGCTACGGCTCGTATCACCACAAGAGATGCCTTCTGCATCCTTCTACAGGCAGCCCAGTCCAGTCACAGGCTCGACAAGCATACTCGCATCCTACCTTCTGCAGTCTTGGGATTCCCGGCATCTGAATATCACGAAAGGCAACTTCCGAAACCAGAACTGTGAACTTGAGTGGGAAGTAATATTGCACTGATGAAACTCAGAAGAAGAGAATCCACTCGGAATGGCTCCCCAAACAAAGAGCCCGAATCCCGCGAGCCCGTGCAGCCACTTCATCGGTGGGGGTACAGTGTCAAGCCTTGAACACCTGAGATTGTGGACAAGAGGCTGTTAATGATCAGTCACAGGAATTTGTGAAATGCGTGGACCCAGAGCAACGGATCCGAATTCGGCACAAGCCACTCAAAACCTGAGTGTAGGTGTCCGAACGCCACATGCTGCGGCACCGCGGATCACCGCAGCTCGAGGAGTTCCGAGCCTAAATGGAGCCCGCTTTGGGTTTGGATGCCAATATCCACAAGGTCGTGGCTGTGAATATGAGACCATGTCATGAGATAGGATGTTGCAAGCAAGCCAAGAGAGCTTAGTCACACAGAGCGTCAGGCTCGTAGCTGTCAGTTTGTGCCTCACCATCTTGCACCTCAGTCTCACGGCGTGACAGGAACGGCTCATCGATGCTACCAGGCTAGGAGTGCGGCGGTAGCCGGAAGCTTCACGTCGCCTGCAAGGTTAAACACCAAGTCATCGTTCCCATCTCTGCCATGGCGGCTCGCTTTTTTCAAACTTGCTTTGCAGTACGCCGCCCGCAAGCACGGGCAAGGGCCTATGCGTCTCGATGCATCGTGCTGCAATGCAGTGCTCAAGCTGCAAAACGCTCTTTCCGAGGCAGCTGTCCGAAGTGGTCTCAGATCGGGAAGGCACGGGCCACGGCTGTCGCATAGTGCGCTGGTGAGCGCACGACACCCCCGTCCAGTTGGTCGAGCACAGTGCGAACAGTCTGGATTGCCCAGGGCCTTAGGCAACAAGTTGAGAGATCAGGGCTGATGGCACCTGGGACATCTTAAACTGAGTTTCTGAAGAGACTCTCCCTTCTTCAGCCGGCCGAGAAGCATCGCCCAGAAGTGCGTGCCGCCTTTGAATCCGAGCTCCCAGCCTGAGCTAAAGACCCCGGTAGGCCCAGTAGCTCCATGATTGCTTTGGTGCTGTGTGATGCCGCAACATGAGCTCACTGGACTGTCGTTACATTCTGGAAGGACCAAGAGCGGCAGCTGCTTCACGGTTGGAAGCCTCGTTGCCGCCCCTCTCGCAGGCCCGCACATATGTACATCATTGTGTATGTCACCATGTGTATGTGTATATGTATGTGTGTGACAACCGAACGAAAACAATCAAATCAACACTTCACATATACACATGCACCCCATCATGGTATGTATATATATATATATCTTTTTGTGTATGAATATGTATGTATGGTTGTATGTGTGTGTGTGTGTATATATATATACATAGAGATGGTGTACACTCACCAAACCGAGCTGCGAATAAAGTCCAGCACGGCCAGATCAAAGTGTTGCTTCCTGAGCTGAAGAATCTGAAGAGTCTCCGAGAGGATATGTGAGGCAATCAGGCGGTTGCATGGGAAGCCAGGCACCACATCAAATCTTGCATCTGAACAAACTCGAAAAAGGACTTGTATACTATCCTTCTCCTGCGCAATTCGCAGCTCCTGAACGCAGCTAAGTTTCAAGACGGTTCGCGAGTATGGAGATCTTGCAGCAGGCGGCAGCTGGTCCAACAACATGGTGTGATACTCGGACAACAAGTCCTGAACTCAGGACCACCACGCAGATGCAATCAAATGAGCCTCCAATGACTCTGCAAGTTCAGAACAAACCCCGGTGGAATGTCTCCCCGGCTGGAGGGACCGTCCTCGACCACGTTTGTTGCTATCTGGTCCCAAAGCAAATATGCCACATCACGCACACCGTAACCTGCCATCGCAAGAGGAAGGCAAAGCTTTTGGGCCGTGAGCCCATTTTTTCTGCAGATTACGCAACCACTAGAAATCCAACTCTCGCTTTTGTTCACTTCTTGCTGCTGCATCTCTGCATGTTCGTGGCCTTCGCCGACCCAGCCGAAGTCCAAAGCTGCGCAGCGAGGCGCCAGGCCCTCGCTGCAAAGCATGTTCTCAGGCTTCGCATCGCCATGCACCTTTCCCGCGCGAACACAGTGTGACTCTCTGGACTCTTTCAAAAGCCGTGAGGTCTGCCGTCGGTTCGGTGATGAGGCGCGAAACGTCTATTGCATGTCAGCTTGAAGTGCATTTTCCCTCCTCGGAGCCCCACCAGTGTGCGAAAGCGGGAGTTCGTCTTTCCAGGATGTTCCGGATCTTTGCCGGCCTGCATCAAACTTTGGCTGTAAGTTAGTGAAGATAAGTGCAAAATCGTATTCAGGTAGGGAAATAGGTGTGCATGTGTCGAGTGTCGGTCAGCAACGCGAAGTCGGTAGGGCCCAGAAGCACGGTCCACTCTAAGACCCATCCTAGGGATGTCCGGCCAGACGTTGATGCACAGCGAGAGCTGCTCTGCGGAGCCTCTGCGTCTCCTTCTGCAGAAGCGCCGACAGTGAACACTTGCACAGTGAACAACTTCTCCCTCTAGGAACTTCTACTTGCACTGGCCATGCTCACAAAGACACGCCCCTGCTGCCTGGATCCTGCAAGTGCTGAACTTGGGTCGTGCAAGCCACACAAGCTTCACGCTGCGCTGAGTGCTCCTGAGCCGTGAGGTAGCGGTTGCTGAAATCAGCAGGCAGAGCTTCGAGCTGAAGCCTGCTCAAAGGGTGCCAGGGGGGGGGGCCCGGTCTTGCCAAGGAAGGCATCAAAGCCCTGGCTGTGAGCTGCAGTCGAGGGGCTGCCCAAGCTTGTCCAGGATCCAGTAGCCTGGGATACTCTCTGCATGTTGGATGTTTGATAGGGCTTCTGAATCGTGTGACCTTCTGGTGGCTGAACTTCCCGATGCCCAGCAACTGCCTTGCTGCCAGAGCCCACGCTGCTGAGCGAAAGGCTTCCTCGGAAGAGAATGCACAATGAAAGCTTCCCGGCAGGAGCTGCCATACGCGGCTTGGCACACATCCCAATCCGTGGAGGCCTGGCTTCCATCACTATCCGTGAAAAGCTTCTTCGACTGCGTCTCGGCCAAGAATCTCCCAGAAAAGGGCATGGAAGCCTGCAAGCCACCTGTCGCAGGAAGTCTTGGCATTACAGCACAGAAAGAAGTCTCTTTGACCTCTGCCCAGCTCCGTTTGATCCAAACAAAATCCAGCCATCATCCTTTAAACTCTGAGTCATGGTCATGTCATATTCTCAAATCAGCGCATGGTCAGGTCATTTTTGATTCATGCCGTGCACAGACAGCACCAGTGCTGGGGCCTCAGGGCTGCCAGTGTTTCGGCGCCGCGGAAGTGGCGAACAGCTGCTCCGGCACCCCGTGGGAAGCGCAAAGAAAGATCCTGTGCTGCTGAGGCGCCATGTTAAGCAGCATCTGTCGCAACCTGGAGATGTAGACTGGCAAGTTGTTATGCGTCTCTGAGCTCCTCCAGCAATATCACGAAGGGGTCGCCCAGCTCAACCTCCTCGACATGCAAAACACCTCAAGCTGACTGCCTCTGCATGCACAGCTTTCTCACATGTGACCCATGCTGCTCCTGCAAAGGTGCGGGGAACTGCAAGGTCGACTGCAAGAAGCTCCTCGGAGAGGTTCTTGTATGCAGCGGCCTTTCGCTGAGCCGCAGCAAAGGGCAAACCCGGCGCACACACACGGGCCTCGATCTGGAAGCCCTGCATGAAGCGAGTGTGCTCGGTGAGCTTCAGCATGTCTCCAACCTCTGGCAGTAGGCACCCCGATACCTATGGTCCTCTTCACTACAACCCTGGCGCCTCAAGGCCTTCTTTGGGCCGGATCCGTTTGGCGATGATGCTGGGAAGAGGTGCCTCGCGCAAGTGGAGGCCGGAACGCGACCATCAAACTATCAAAATGCAAGCGGGTGACACCATCGAGAGCCATGTGCACTCGCACCTGGCGAGTTGGTCGTGCGATGATGTGACCAGCAGAAGGGGTGCTTGAATCAGCGGGCAAAATCATCGCCGGGGCACAATGTCTCCATAGTTCCCTCCTTCTCCCGTTGACCTTGGCAAGGGGCAGCACGTTTGACCTTGAGTCTGCTGCCTGGTGATAATTTGAACACATTTGCATGCCGCACACTGTCCTTAACTAACCGCCAAGCCCATCAACTGCAGCCTCGCGGCGCTAGGATCTCTGCTACAGGCTCCAGGCGGAGACTCGGCTGTCCAGGAAGGCCCAGCCAAAGTTGCAGCTGCTCGGCCGAAAGCAGCAAAAAGTCTGTGCTTGCTGTGCTTGATGACCTTCTCGGGTCGTGCAAGCATAAGTTTCTGCACCACAGCGAAGCACCGAGGAACCTCTGGCAGGATCCAAGCTCTGCTGTGCAGGAGGCGGCGAGGACCAGCCCCATGATTCATAGCTGGTTTTTGTGTTGAGATGCACAGGTCCTTTAAGACCTTGCCAAATCCCAGCTGAAAGCAAGTTATCGAGCTTTGTATACAGTTCTATCCGGAGCATGCATGCTGCACGACATAGCGGTGTCTTCCCAATGTGCCTCTTGAGCGCGAAACACTCTGAAGGAGGTGCACATGAAAGGACATCTGCAACCGCACAGGCCAAACTGCGCCTTGGGACTCTTCCGGACCCAAGAGCTCGCTGTCACCTCGAGCGGGTCGGCATGATGCGGTGTAGAGTTTACCGCATCTCTGAATGATCCTTTCTGAATGACCCTTACGAGTACTCTCATGTGTAATGAAAGTTGAAGGACACGCGGCTGAGGCGGTCACACACCGTCTGGGATGCTGCTGACAACAGGAAGGCGTTGCCCAGGTATTTGCCGATCCTAGGCCATGGTGAGTCGAAGCCGTGACTGAAGTGAGCGCAATCGGCCGCTTTATACCAACATGATCAGCTGCAGAAACTACGTGCAGAAGTATGTGTCGACGAATTCCTATTCCAACCCCAAAGCGAATGCACCCGCGGGGTTTGAGGAAACGACGGGCCCCTTCGCAATGCACTATAAGGTGAAGTGATCTGCTTCTCCAGAAGCTGAGCAAGTTCCTGAGAGTTCAACATTGCACCCTGCACTCCATGGAAACTCGCATCGTCTGAGCAGCCGACTAAGCCAGTTCGCGAGTCTGTGTGAGAGCGGGGCCGCAATAGGAACCTCGGCCATGCTTTTGCTGGAGTTGAAACGCGCGCAGAATCAGGACTCCCACTCCGCGATGATCGCAGTCGCACTGCCGTTTGTGACATTCACGACCTCCACCTGAGTATGTTCATGGCCATGCGCACTGTCAGCGCGTGCCCTCTATGAGGATCTGGCGCAGTTGCCATGTGCTGGCAACCCCAGCGAGGAACAAACCTCAAAGCGCGAATTACTTGGCCGCCCCGCCCCCTCCCCCCCCCCAATGGCTCCCATGTGCCCCGTCCCTGCACAAAGACCTCAAACTGACGAGGCCGGGGATGGTACGCTTTTGCAGAAGGAATGCCGAAACCCCGGCAAATCCTTGGCCACTGTGCGTACAGAAGCATGTCAAGCTCTGAGCTTACAAACTCTTTCTGATCCCCTGTCGACATGTCTGTCGATTCTGGACCACACTTTACTTCTGCATGGGTTGGACCCGCTGAAAGTGGCTTCGAACTGAGTGGCGAGCCTTTGCAATGGACGAGAACTCGTGGTCCTGCATAATCAGCCACCGATGCCTGAGCCCGGTTTTCTAAAGGTTGCATTGCAAAAACCTGTTTGATGGATGCGGTGGGTGCTAAACTGGCAAAGACTGGACGGGGGCGAACATGCATACTTGCCGACTCTGGATCGACATTCACTGATGAACAGTTGGATACATCGGAATCCTCGAGTTTGTGCCTTCCCAAGCGTGAGAGACCGCGGATTTACATAGATTACCTAGCCAGTGAGACACTATCCTTACTGTTTCGAATGAAATTGTCTGCCGCTGTTGCAGTTGCCGTCCTTTCCTACCACAGCTGTCACCGGTATTGTGCCAAGGTTGGCAGTCCATTTGGGCTGGTTGTGCTTCTGGTGCGGTTCTTCCTGGGCTACGAGCCGATGTGCGATGAAACAGGGACTGCCAGTACTGTATGAGCCGGTGCCTAGGTAGGCTCCTTTAACCGACTTGGGCTGGTCTTCAACTATCTTCAACTCTGAGCCCACGGCACTGTGGCGTCCTGCAGGGGTATCAGTGGCGCTGGGATCAAAGACCCCGCTATGTCGGGAGTCTTGCAAAATCATGCTGTAAGCCCCCAGCCAGATCACCATATGCATCCTCAGAGAAGGAGCTTCGCGCTTGGCACCAATAGCAGCACCAAATCAAAACGAGCCTCGGCATCCACCACGAAGTTGTCAGTCTCCTCCAACCGGCGCCTTGGAACAAGTAATAACTACAGCGAGAAAGCCGGCGCACTGCAAGACCTCCACGACGGGAATCTGTGCGCGGCAGCATGTTGAGTTCGAGAGTGTCGCCATATTATTAATGGTTGTGCGCTTCCCGATCCCACCCTGATCCCCAGGTCAAGTTTCAAGGAACCCCCCTTGGGTTGGGTGGGTTTTCGGCGTTTTCGGCTTCTTTAATTCCCTTTTTCCCCTTCTGGGCAAGAAATTGTGGGATTGAACCCACCTGGGTTTGTGGTGTCGTTCCAAACACAGCATCTGTCACGAGGATTGCCTCTCGAAGCGCACCCCCATCCCTGGGACTGTTCCCCTTTTCGTTACACTCTTGCAAGGTCGAGTCCAAAAACAACAGCTGTCACGAGGATTCCGACTCCAAGCCCTGCCAAACCCGTATCTTCGCAAGGTCTGCGGGCAGAGACGACACTTCCCTCGAGGATATCGGAACACGAGACGCCTGACCGTAATAACCACGCCGGGCTCCGGAATGCCAGGGCGAGCTACGATTTTATCGTTTCCATGCCGGGGCATGTCGAGTCTTCGGGTGTTTGGCCTCAACTGCACGAATGCTGCTGGAACTCCGCTATGCCGCTATGCCATCTGGCAGGACCACTCGCAGCGCAGGGCTTTGATCGGATGCCTCCTGGCACACGCCATCGCCAAAGATATTCTCATCGGGGGCTGCTGTGCTTAACGGGTGCTTCATTTGTCGCGCAGTTGTCAGAACAACCGTCACACCGATGACGGCAGAGACTTTGACAGACCGTTGGTGGGTCATGCACATGCAACAAGCACAGCTCACAGTAGCTGGTTTCAGAGGAAGATCTACATTGTAGGTTCTACATGCATGGCACGGAATGGGCTCCGGACGTCCATGCCAAGTGTTTCTCTGCAGGGTTGGCCTCGGAGCTTCCGCAAGACACATGCTGAGTGCTGTACCTGCTGTCGGTTTGAGAACTCTGCACCGGGAGGCAAGAAGTTCTTTGGCTCCTTCTGATCCTTAGCCAGACATGCGGCTGCACAATGTGGCGCGCCTGACTCGTTTTTGACTAGAGTAGCTTTCAAACAAGCTGTCGGCTCTGTCGCGGCGGACTGATTGCACATCCTCCTCATCGGCAGGCGACTTTAGAGTCTGCATGCATGCTGATGCTAGAATGAAGCATGCATGACCATCGCGTGCTCGGTCTGCGGCCGTTGTTGCGGATCGCCTGAGCTTCGATGCAGCAAGCTTCTACCTGTTTCCAGGTGCTTCGAAGCTCAGTCGAGGTCGTCAGAGATTTCTGGGTGCTCGCCCAGCCCGGAGGGGGCCTCGAAAGTTACGGCTGCTCCATTGCAGGCCAAAGTGAAGCCCCTTGCGTCCCCGGCGGAGGCTCTGTGTCTGTCACGGGCTCTGTTGTCAACGGCAACGTCTCGTAGGCATCCCGGATCTCAGGGTGCCATACTCTCATCACACGAGCAAAGCCCTTCCCAGCCGAGGCTGGAGCAGACGGTGTCAGTATCCGGTCAAGCTCCAGCTGTCCGATAACCTCTTGTGCGCATGACTACGCCCAAAGAGCTTTAACAGATTCGTGTCCTTGCTCAGGATCCTGGGTGCACTACGCGTTCTCGCTGGAAGGCTTCCTTGCTTCCGTATATTTGGACAGCCTCGGCCTTTGCAAACGGCACGGCTCAACATATTGCACAGATGGCTTCCAACACGGACGAGACTGCAAGAAAGGCAGCAGTTTTGGCAGTTGAAACATCGCGCGGTCAATCGGATTTCGAATTGAAGCTTGGGGAAGGAGACCCATGACCTGCACCGGGAGGCAAAGTCATCACATCGCCAAGACGAGGACGACATGCCCCCCTGCCTGCAACGGCGTGGCCGAAGGACCCTACAGATAGTTCTCGAGAATGGAGGCAGGTGCCGTACACCGGAAGCCCAAGCATCGCCCCTTGGCCTTCCGAGGTAAGCAATGCGTGAACATGCAATGTCCAGAGCTCTGCCCCAACAAACCCCTTGCCTCTGGGTGCCGGCCTCTGCGATAGCTGCTGCGCGCGAGCCTGTCACAGAAGAGGCTGTCGAGGAAAAAACAATTGGGTGGCTGTGCAGGCTTGTCCTTTGTCTCCTCCTCCACCTCCTCCCCTCTTCCTACAGCAACATCTGCGCCTGCTGCTGCTGTTACTACTACAGACTACTACGACGACGACGACGACACGACGACTTCTGATTTCCACTACTAACACGAGAACCGGTTCCCGGAGATCTGACAGGCCTTCAAAACCCTTTGCCTGAGCTCGTGGACCGATGCTTCAGAGGCATACTTAGCCCAAGGTAAACTAACCGACGAATCATAGGACCCATCCGAAGGAGGCTCGGTTGAGTGTTAAGGAGCAGGGCTGCCAGCAGTCGCAAAAGCTGCAACACGATATGGATGTCAACACGGTCGTGAAACTCTTACAGATGCACACATCATTTGTGGGAAAGGCGAAGAGGCATGAGAAGGGCAAAGCTATGAACAACTTAGATCTAAAGGAAACAATGGCCACGTTTGCAGCCCAGATGCGATGCGGGGCCTACCCAGCTTCCTCCCCGTTCGCTCTTGAGGGCACCGTCTTCAGAGTTCCAGGCATCGGGTAGACTCGCTTCCGTTGCGAGGTAAAAGTTGCTGTGGTACGTGTCACGACACCACTGCCACACATTACCAGCCATTCCTCTGAAACCAAAGGGAGACATTCCCAAGCATGCATTCACCCCCACCAGGGGTAGCTCCTCCAAAGGTGCGGCGACATGTGCCGCCATGTTGCCCTTGTTGTCGTATGCGCTGGTATCCCAGCAAACATTCAGCAACTCGGCCGTTGCCTCCTCGTTGCCCCATGGATACTGTAGGGGCTCGACGCCACGGGCAGCGTACTCCCACTGAGCTTCTGTGGGCAGAAAGCTCTCTCTCGCACTTTTGTAGCCGTGCCAGTCGCGACCATGTGCCTGGCACCGAGATTTGCAAAACCCTTTCGTGGACCAATCAGCAATACCTTCATGCATTTCGAGTCTTGGTGGTGTCGAGCTCAAGTCTGGGCGGCTGAGTGGCCCGATGGAATGAAAACAGAATGGCAAGCCATGAAGCACGTATCCATCTACATGCGGGAACAGAGGGTCTACCAAGCGGTATGGCTGCTTCATGCTACTGCCACAACAAAACGCAGAACCCTGAGTGTTGCCGGGATACCCAGAGTGCGTAGGCATTGGCACCATACCAGGACACAAGGATCATTGGCCAGTTTGGGGGCACTCCCGGCTTCACCTCTCAGTCAAGGCACAGGAACTCGTCTTCAGCAAAGGCCTACAGATGCAGAACCCTGGCCTGCCAACCACTCTCCGTGAGTGTGAGGGGTATGTGGCAGCATCTCGCATCTTCAGCTGGCAGAAGGCACCAGTCAAAGAGCTCGTCCTGTGTCGGCTGCGCGGCATTGAGGAAGCGCGCAAAGGCACCCATGCTCACCGGCTCAACATCCATCAGGAAGCTGCTCAGGTGCACTGGATGGCTCGGGCCCTCATTGTCACGCTCGCTCTGCATAGAGTCGTCCCCAATGCGGACTTCACCGCCTGGGACCCGTATGCATTCCATGCCATCGGTCGCTCGTGAGAAGCGAAGTCCTGAGGCGTCGATCCCCCTGTAGGGGGTCGACACGACAGCCACCGCTCCCGCAGTGAGCTGTGTAAAGGGCGCCATGTCATGACCGGCATGCGGATGTGCGGTGCTCTGACTTTCGAGGCTCTTCGTCCTCTGAGTCTTTGGCAAGTCCACAATTGCCTGTGAAAGCTGTTCTATGGTGGGATTGTCGAAGACCAACCGTGGGTCGATGTCAACCTCTGGAAATTCACGCCCAAGCTCGAAGGCATCCATAATGATGCACCTGGAATCTCTTCGTGTAAGTATGTTGTCAGATGGTCGCAGAAGTAGGTCTGGATCATTCGGGTCGAAATCGTCCATTTCTGCCTCTGGCTCCTCCTCTGCAGGCTGCCCAGCACGCTCGTTGAGGATGCGAGAGACACGCTGCAAAACACCATCAAGAACCGCTTGTGCTTTTTTCTGCATCTCCGCCTCGGAAATCTCCATGGCTGCTGGCGGGATGCAGCCACTTGAGCCCTAGAAGTTATGCAAAAGTGCAATCTGCATGGATCGGGGAAACTTCCTGCCACGCGCATCCGAACGATACCAATTCAACAAGCAATGTTGCAATTCGAACAAAGGCTCCACTTGACAGACACGGAGCTGTCGCACCAGGGCTCGTGCGTAGGGCGGAACAAGCTTCTCAAGCTCAACCATGAGCTGCGGTGTGACCTTCCGGCCAGGCTGGGCTACGGGCCTTCTTAGGGCCTAAGGACTACCTTGGTCTTCTGGCACCCGCCTCCTTGGCTTTCGCCACAGCGCCTGGCCGACGGTTTGGCACTTCTCAGGGCTCTTTGCACGCCCGCTCCGTGTTCTTGAGCTGTTCTGCTTACTGATTGCATGTACCAGGAAAGCTAGGATGTTGAAGCGAAGAGGGTCCACAGTGAGTCTACAACGGAGCGCCTGTAACTTTGCCAAGCACTGTAAGCACCATGAGGCAGATCGAAGCGATCTCGGATCCAGTGCCTGCACGCCACATTGCATCTACGAGTATCTACAGGGGCAAAGCAAACCGACATCTTGCTTGATGCTGGGTGACTGCCCTTTTGTATGCGAATTGCAGCGGCTTCATGCTGTCGGCGAGGGTCAGTCATAGCTGAAGAGCACCGACAGGCTGCCCCCTTGCCTAGACCTCGCCCAGAGGCATCGAAAACGGCATGTAGGAAGCGTGCCTGCTGCGACGAGCTGCAGACATGGCTAGAGTTGGTTCCAGAGCTCTGCGTCACTTGCCTTCTCGTCCAGGAGTGCTGAACTGAAGACACACGCCACCGTAAGGAGCTCGTTGATGCTGCAGAGCCTTGGGCTGCAAAAGGCCGGTCCAATTTGCAGAGCTCTGGAGCAGAATCAGAAGCCATTGGCAAGGGCTTCGGGGGACAGCTTCAGACATGACACGGCGTTGCGGCCCAGACTAAGCCACAAGCTCATTCTGCTGACTGAAGATATCCCAGAGGAAGAGCATGCTAGGCCTCGCAGCAGCATCGAAAAATGGGATCTCTGCAGCCCCAGCCTGGGATTTAGATCCCGGATCCCAACTCTGGGCACCGGACGCTTTGAGGCAGAGAAGGTCCTGCACCCTCAGCCCGACACAAACTACGCTCCCCCAAGTGAGGGAACGACTAGCCACGTTGGACTGAGATCCGGGCTCTTCAAAGCCCAAATATCCCTGGTCATCTTCCATGGACTTGGTCTTCCGCAAGATCCCCCAAATATCCTGCCCTGGCAGTGTCGCACAGACGCAGCTTCACCAGACTCCATTTTCATTTTAGCATCAAGGCAGACTGCGCGCGGAATTCCTGACCTGCTAACCACTTAGAAAAGGTGCCGAAAGCCTTGAGGTGATCCTGCTCCAACATGTGTCCTCAGAAAAGTCCTTCCAAGCGGCCTGCCCTCCAAGGCCCCAAGCCTCGGTAGCCTCCGAAGAGCTGCCGCAAGCGTGGGCCCCGGCCGGTTTCCTGCCATCCCGGGGCCTTGGATGGCTGGGGCAGGCACTAAATCACGTGGTCGCACCAAAGGTCAACGATGTGGCTTTAGCATGTAAGAACTGAGTTAGTAAGAGTAAGAGGGGAACATCGAAACAGGGCTGTGTGCTGAACTTGTCTGGCTCTGGCTTGTAGATACCCCGATGCCTGCACTTGCCCCGTCGTTGTTTCACATGCTTACTTATTCTCCCTTCACAGGTTGGCTGCCTATCGAAACTTTCGGGGCAAGCTCGTGACGTTGCTAATATAGCAGGGGCTTCCGCAAAGAGATCACTTGTATACACCTGTGGATTGCCGACAGGAGTTGCTATCGACATCAGAAGAAGAGCTTCACCTGACACTACGACAGCAATGCTCATGATGATGAGCCCTGCGATACGAGCACCTTTACCACCTGACGAGTGGTCTTCTCGTCCAACTTGCTCTTGTCGTTGCAGGCTTGCTGACCCGAACCCCTCCCCTACGGAGGCGGCTTTCGTGCGCCAGCAGAGTGCGTTGTGAAGCTTTTGTTGTTGGCTCGTCCCTTCCTTTTGAGAGCTTGAGATCATCCCGCGATAAAACCAAAACATGCATGTCTCCGTGCAACGAATCTCTGAGATTCCAGCAGTTCCGACGTAGATCAGTGCAGTGGAAATGCCTGCGACTCTACTGGTCGGTGTTTCTTCCCACCCCCAGGTGCGGCCCAATACTCGGAATCACCTTGTACCTTCCACAACAGAAACAGTCTAACAGCTTTCTCTAGCCGCGTCAACCCAAACATGCTCCCAGCATCCGGCCTGTGCCCATGGCGCTCGGCACATGCCGCACTTGAGCATCGTGAAAGCAGGGTTCGTGGGGATGTGCGATTTTGTTAATTACCCAAGCATTCAAGCAATGATGCAGTGCAGAAACTATGACGGGAAGCATCTCTTTTGTGACTTCGCCTCTCTGCAGATTCTGCGCACCCTGGCCCAGGGTGAGCCCGCAAATAAGGCTGTAGACGAGTAGCTGAGTGTATAGTGCGAACAGCTTACGTTCTCACTGACCAGGCAATGAACATGGCTCCTTTAGCTGGGGCTCGCTATTCGAAAGCAAACTTCAAAAGCTTTGTACAAGAACTAATTGTCCGCATGCGAGGTGAGCGTGACTGGTGCTGCGGCTTGTCCGCTGCAGAAGCCACGCCTGACAGTGAGCTGCAAAAGCTGCAGCACGATGCCTCGAATTGACTTACGGAAATCCTCATGTGGAACTTCAAACTTCCCGGTATTGGTTTCTGACCGGAGGCGGCAGCCAACAACAATGAGTCAGTATGATGGTGAATTAGTTGTGCAGGTTTTAGCATCAGAAACACCGGCAATGCGATCCAAGTCAGAATCGTTGCACTGTACCTTTGGCACATACCCTGTCTGTCGACAGAGTGTGGTTGGGCATGAATGCCACTGCCTGTTCGGCAAGCCGGCAGATTTGCACGACGGCTTCCGGCCCGATGTGTGCATGACAGCTCCGCATTCTTAACAACATCAGGACTCGAGAGCAGATCTTGGGACAAATAACTTCATGGCCGATGTGCCTGCTACTGCCTGCTACATCGTGTGCTCATGCAGGTAGTGCGCACTTGTATCTTCAGCTGCAGTCGCCCACATGCCATGCCAAGCAAACACCCGAATGTTCAAGCTGTAGCCCCTGGGAAAGAGAGGCATTGCTGACGCTAGCCTGACTATTGCCCGACCACTTGGCTGGGCTGCTCCGAACATCCCTGGTGCACTCTGACCCCAATGAGCCGATGAATTCGGATGATAAGATACCAGTTCCGTGAGCTGCCATGCCGAATGTCCGCACCATCGAGGTCCCCCCTCGGACATATCAACTTAGGTGCTGTGGCTCTCCCAAAGCACACCTCTTCGAGGTTCTCTGGAAGAGCCTTCAGAACACACTTCAAGGTGTGCTGGGTCCGTGGCTTAGACAACTGCTCCAGCACGCCCTCAACTCCAGTGGCGTCTTTTCATGGTTCGGGTTTGGCAGCAGCACTACAACGCCACAAGGCCCCTCTTGGAGCGCTCACAATCTCCGTCTAGTGCTGGCTGTGCCTTGTCGCGACCAGGGTGATGTGCCGATCCCTCCCGTGACTGAACGCCCAGGCCTCTAGCGTCGGCCTCCGCGTTGGGCGAGGACGCTTCGCCCTGCCCGGTTCTCGAAGCTTGCAGACAGCTAGGAGCTATGTCCGAATGAAGACAACTCACTGCTGTCGCTGCTTCATCACCGCGGGGAAATGGAAGTCCGCTCTCCAAACTGCACACCTTTTCTTGGACAAACGCAGGGTTGCATTAGCTCCAGCAGTTCATTGCCGCTTCTTCCGCGCCGAGACCCACGACTTTGGCAAGGCATGCCTGTTCTTGTGGTGATCACTGTCGTCGGGACTGCTCGAATCTAGGGGCGAGGGAGGCGATAGACTGCTGCTGTGGGGGCTGGTTTGAGCATCGGCAGACAAGCAAAACTCGTCTCCGTGACCGAGTATGATCCACCTTCCTAAGCCGTGCTCTGGAGCGCCTTGGCAAAAGGTTCTTGGGAGTTGCAAATCGGTGGCACAGACGGCGCCCACTGCCACTACTGCGAATCCGGCATTAAGCTTTGCGAAGCCGACGTTCGTGAATGACGGCTGTGGGAGGGTCGGCTAGGCCAGGACGAGCAAAGCGCGCCAAACTATCCAGTTCATGTGATGGAGGCTGTTCAACAGGAGGCACCCTCCCAACGGCCATTATGGTACAGGCATGTCACAGGTGCAACGTGAAGCTCATTGCTGGCCCTGACCCGGCGGCAATGAATAGCTGGAGGTGTACGTCGCCGGAACCTGTAGCATCCAGTATGTTCTGCCTACGAGCTGGCGGTGTGATGAATCAAAATCAGTATGCAGCCAAGCAGCCGTGACCACTGGTGCGGATGCAGCAGGCGCAATGTGCACAGAGCCGCTGGGAGCAAACTGGGCCGGCAAAGTCGTCGTGTAGACCCGCGAACCTGTTATCAGCATATCCAAGAACCCGGGCCGGCTGCTTATTGCTGTAAACCGGGTGCCTGGACTTGCGACAGGCGGGGATGGGTACGAAGGCAGCTGCGTCGTGAAAGCAGCTTGTGGCGACGCTGGCGCTGCTAGGAAGGGAGTCGCCAGATACTGTCCTGAAGCAGCTGCGCTCTGTACAGTTGCTGATTTGAAAAGTATTGCTGACACGGCATACGCCGAACTGCAAGTCATTTTATGTGCCCCCCTGTCCAGAAGTCGAAATTGCAGAGGCCGAAGTTTGCAGTGGCAAGGATCCAGACTGAGCCTCAGAAGGGCTTGCCAGGTGACCACCAGAAGCCTGTTTTCAACATGCTAGCCTAAGGTCAAAACCCCACACCCTTCCAGCCAAACTCGAAGCCCTTCGGCACTTATTGAATACAAGTCGCAGACTGTGGCATCTGCAAGTTCAGGTTTGGCATGGGCAAATGCGGCTC